ATCTGACTGACGAAGTCCAGATGAGAATTGAGGTTATCACACTACTGGTCGCATTGTTCTGTTGGAGGCCAGAGAAGATGAGAGCTGCGATTAAGGAAAGAAAAGGAAAAGAAAAAGATATTTTTTTTTTAGCAAGATGTATTTTTTTTCTTCCTAAAACAAAGCCAGGTGGATCACACACACACGGCTGGACGCCATTGGCCGAATGATAACGAAGGCCAGGCGGATGTGATCACGTGACGCAAGGAGGGAAGCCGCCGCCTCCCATTTAGAGGATAGGTATGATAAGTTGCTGCGAGGAAGTGGGGAGAACCATTGACTCCCCTCTGAAGTATGATGAGAATAAAGAGAAGGTGGGAGTAAGAGAAGACTTCCAAAAATGGAAAGGAGTGGAAAATTCCTGACCAAAAATAAAAGAAGTGGATAAGAAAGAAACGGATTTAGAATTATCGAGGAATCTCCAACGCCGACAAACCCACCCCAGTTTTGGTCGGCGTCCATATAAGCAAAGTCGCAGCGAGAAAAGATCAGTTGCAAGTTCAGCAGAGAAGAGTGCAGAGTTCAGTTCAGAAGAATTCAGTCCAGAGTGCTCAGCTGAAGCAGGCCTCGCCTCAGCTGACCAAGATTCACGCAACTTCCGAACTCATCTTCTATCCAAGAACAATTTATTTTGAAGAGCGACTTAGATCCATACCACCAAAATAAGTTTTTCGACTATCGCCTGAAGACACACCAAGAACCAATTTCTTAAAAACAGACAACTTAACATGTTAAAACTCACCTAACAAAAAAAACGTGTCACAATCCATATAGCGGGTCGGGAGATAGACGCAGTCCTATGTATCCAGCAACCAGATATAAAGTATTGTTATCCTTTTTTTTTTATACCTTGAACTTTTGAGTTATCATTTTATTTTATTTTATGCATATTTGTGTGATATTACCCTCGTCTGAACTCACTTTGCATTACGGCCCAACGACTGATTGATTTCGTCTGCCTAAGATCAATTCACAACGTGGGTAGGCGGACTGGAGATCAACGCAGTTACTTTGGTAACCAGACGTTGGAAGCGAGTTGGGTACGACGAGGTTGATATCGAATCTAACCAGATTCCCATCCGAATCACCAAAAGGTTAGAACGTCACATTTGGGTGCCGCGACCGATACCAAGCCAGTTGGTCGTCACAGGACGGGACAACACGACTGACGCAACAGGCGGACGTCACGTTTGGAGCGGCGACACCCGAACGAAGCAGCGAGGAGCGAGCGAAGGCTGTGTTGAGGGACGTCACAATAATAAATTTAACAATCAATTGATAATTACATAAAAATTATATTTTAGTCTATTTGTGGCACAGTGTGGCGGCGGGCCGGATGAAATGACATCACGGGTAAGATCCATATTTTGGAGACCATTGTTCTAGGAGGAAGATATACGTTTCAGATTATAAAGAAACTAGCATCATGGCCCGACGTTGCCCGTGCTTGAATCAAAAATCGTACGACTCATACGGCAATCGCTATCACTTGACTTAAAATATGTTTGCCCTTCCTTGCCTTTAAAGGAGTGCCCTTTGCCGTGCTGATGTTGCTACATGCCTTACTTCTTGCCTCACACTGCGAATTTTTTTCTAAGCTCTATACTAAACATTAAATCTCTTACGAAAATAGAACTAAACAAAATGAACGCAAAACGATCAGCTTTAAAAAAGGACTCGCAACTGGAAAAAAAACGAATGAAAAAAGAATGTTAACAACAAATACTTTTTCACACCTAACCTACTTCTGCGGAATCAGAATCAACGTCGAGTTTAAGCAAGCGAATGAGCCAATTGGAGTAAAGTGCCATGCAGATTTAAATTTTTCCCAATTGTGACGAATGCAGCTATCGATTTTTTGCATGTTAGCATGCTAGTTAACATTCGTGTCAGTCAGCTCTTGGCTCTCACGCTGGCCAATAGAATTTTCCTGCCTATTCGTGGCAGCCAGCTATAGGTTCTCATTTTGGACAGTACAAAATGGCCGCAAACTACATGAAAACTGCCGTAGAAGCATGATAAAATCGATTATTTCCACTATCTATGTGAGTTAGGAAATGCCAAGTCAGTCTTGGCCTTTCCGCTAACTTGGAGCATGGGCATGTAAAATTGCGGCCGTGCATTCGTTACACACACACACACACACACACACACACACACAGACACACACATCCTGCCCTTTATAGATAGAGTTTCATACAAAACAGTCCAAGTACTTCCCCTTTAACGAAAGAAATTATAAATACTCAGTCATATGAATGGAAGGCCACTCGTATCCGAGAATACCCGTTTACTAGAGCGGCTAGACAATCCCTGTTGCAGACGCCTGCTCAGGTTCATTTGTTTAACACCCACAGTGCACATCTGTGGTTTATATTGCAACTATGCTGAGCGGAACTTACAGTTTCTGAGAGAGCGTGCACTATCTAGCGTAAACAACAGTCTGAACATGCCAGCACGCTCAAACACTGTCACGATGACTTGTAACTTCGTGCTAGTAGATCCATCGATTCTCGACCCAATTTCACTCACAAGGTTTGAGTGAAAACATGGTATTTTTTTCATGCACTTTCCAAACGTGCAACATGCTGATAAGTCAACCATGGTATGGTTCGAATCCGAGTGTCCTGATAGGAAAGTGAAAGTTCTAATCACTCACTTACGTGCCCACTAATATAGTGCATACCAAAATAGATAATATTTATATATGTAAATATCCCCTGAATTGCACACCTAGTTATGTATATACTTTTGAAATTTCCTTCTCTTTTGTATTGCATCTGTTTTTCCAATATAATTTCCAAGTGAAAGCTACTTTATAATATTCACATATATTTCTAAAATCTATTAATAAAATATTTCCTTGCGCCATAAAAAATAGACAATAATATATAGATATAATGTATATCTTTATAAAAAAAAGCAGCCAACCAATCCGAGAACATAATCGAGAATACCATTATAATATATAAATGATTTTGTAGGAAAAAAACACTTTTCGGTAGTAATTTTTTTCTTAACATATTAAGAGACATCGTTCTAAATCTTTTCAATTCTATATCATAAGCTGATTAGTAAGGTTTAAATAAAATATGTTTTTTCGTTTTCTCTCGAGAACACAGAAAAAAGAAATCTTCCAATACAGTATTTTCAGATTTATTCGACATTTAACTATATCTGATTTTCTTGACTATTTTTCTTTATATATTCAAGTGTCTGTGCGTGTCCAACATTCTGAATTAGCATTTCATTCGTCTGACCATTTCACATATATCGACAAAATTAACACTTTAATTCTTGCATTGTTAGATAGGTATCTGGCTATACTGGACCATTTTTGAAGGAATAGATAATTTCAAAGACGGTATAATCCAGAGAGCTCAATGTAACACCAGAGTAAATATTAATTAAACAATTAAGAAAGAGAAAACTTTAACGTTCCATGACTATAATTTATTTCCCCAGAAAATGCATTTTTGTCACATCTCTTGTTGCAAAGGAATTTAGTTTCTTTTATTTTTATACAAGTTTTTGAGGGATAGATTTAGATTGATATAAGTTGACAGAGGTGGTGGGAGGGGAGGACTACAGAATGATCTGCATTGGAAATGGAAAGTAGGGATAAGGTTGTTTTTAAACTATCTTTAATAATTTACGTAGGTTTAAGTATACTCAGTAAATAGGCCAACCAATTTGACCTCTTAAATAATTTCAGACTGCAAGAGAAAAGAAGAAGAAAAAAAAGAAGACATATCGTAAAGCAGAAGAAGAAAGAAAGATTTAAACAGAGGATGTGGAGGAAGAAAAAAGAGTGAGTTATCATATGTAGGGATATCACGGTGACACTTGAAATACTGAAATCAGACGTCCCTATCGAAATATCTCTGGCACGTAAAAGAAATCATTATAACACCTACTGTGAAATGGAATTTAATAAGAAAAGTTAGAATATGTAGGTCATTAAATGACCCATGTCCTTTATGCATACTTGAGAAACTATACATTATTAGGTTTATAAAGAATAGATTTTTGCTTAAAGAAATGAAATAGCTATTCTTTGCTGACATTTTCAAAGATTATCCTTAAATAAAAAAGCTGATAAATGAGATATACATATTTATATTTGACATTTAATAATAATTTTTAAATAATCTAAGTGATTCTATTATATTTATTTGTTTTAAAAGAAGTATAGTCTATTAGTAATTAGAATTAGGAATAATATTCTAAAATTGTAGTTTAATACGATATACTCATATGCAAACAACCCTTTTAGAAAAAATCATTATGTATACAATTACAAATTTAACGGCGAAACAAAAGTGCCGAAAACATTTTGTCGTTGATGAAGACCAGACGACATGCGTTGAAGTGGTGCCACCATTCGTTGAGAAAGGTACCCACTACCCTACCTTAGCTTAACCTCTTTTGGAAAGTGACTCATATTTTTATACAATAGTTGTCAGTGAAAATGAATACCCTACCACCCTTTGTCAAAATGATTGAATTTCCCCGTATCCTTAGAAATTAATATTATGAATGTATATGCTTATAAAACTCAGTAAATTTCAAAATAAGTTGATTCAAAATTCGCTTGAAAATGAAACAGGACTAGGGGCTTTAATTTAATTCTCTAATTGAATTTGAAGTTTTTAGTTTTTGTTTTCGAAACATGTTAATTCCAGTGTAACAATTGAAGCATATTTTTAAATTAGTAAATCTATAATATTTATGCTCTGTAGATTTGCATTAACCACTGTTTGTAAAATAAAAATAATTAATAAGAACACACACACACATACACACACACACACATATATATATATATATATATATATATATATATGCCTAAGCCAAATAATTTCTTCAAGTTTAGCATAGAATTATCATGAGAAACACTTAGTAAAACTTTTGAGCTAATCATTTTGTATTATTTCGTTGGTAAGTGTTACTGCTCGATCATGGTCTATTTGCCAGTGGCTTTGAGCATTATGGTTAGGTAGATTTCTGTCATTTTGATTTTGTATTTTTTTTCTTTTCGTTTTATGCTGTTTTCAGAAGGTTTGCCAATAGTCCGTCACGTTTTTATTATATCTATCTATCTATCTATCTATCTATCTATCTATCTATCTATCTATCTATCTATCTATCTCTCTCTCTCTCTCTCTCTCTCTCTATATATATATGTTATATATATATATATATATATATATATATATATATACGTAATAAAACGTGCCAGATTTGGCAGGTGAGTTTTTCGTTTGAATGTTTTGTCCAACATTTCTAAACATTTACAAGGTAACTGACCCCATTCGCAATTCAGAAAAAAAAATCCTTGTCGAAAATACTTCTATACTTTTTCATGAAACGAATAAACATAAGTTAAAAATTCTAGAAGCTATCTCTATTAAAATATTGAATACTAATCCTTAATAAAATTAACGATGAATACTCCACAAATGTTTTGTGCAATAGATAGTTTGAAATGCCAAGTTTGCACTAATAATGTTTACTAATTATTTCGTTAAAACACGCCTTAACCACAATAAGTTACCTCCCATGAAGCTATGTAAGCGATCACATACTGACTCAGCATTTTTCACTAAACACGAAAGAAACGTAAGTTTCAGATGAACACAAAAATTTTCTTTCGAAAATAATGAACACTAGAACACTTGTTTGACAATAAAGAACACCCTGATGATGACATTATGGTATGTCGAAAGTATTCCGAATAATAGAAAAATATCCATCAACACGATGATTTTCTCTCGTATTTCAATAACATCAAGAAGTTTGTCTGCGAATATGAAAAGGATCAATTGAAAATAAGTAGACAAAACATATCCAGATGATTCAACGAAATATGTCTCAGATATATATATATATATATATATATATATATATATATATATATATATATATAGAGAGAGAGAGAGAGAGAGAGAGAAAGAGAGATATATATATATAGAGAGAGATAGGTAGATTTATATACACTCACATAATATATTATATCCCATCAATAAATATACCTCAACCAATGATACTATATTCCATTATATTACTATACTTATAGAATATTATACATTCAAAACAGATGCTACTAAGTGGACTATTATTAATAATATTATTACTATTATTAAAGGAAGTGATTGACGCAACTTTTTCATTATTTTGAAACACTTAAAGAAGAGCGTGATTCAACAAAATGAAAAATAAATTACACAGATTTAAACATTATTTTACCATGTTCAGAGAGTATATTTGTCTTTTACAAGTTATGTTTGAAATTGCATTCAAGTATAACAAATATATAAAAATACAATTTAAACTACACATGTCGCTTGTTTACATAAAATAAAAAGAAAAAGAAAAAAAAAAACAAAGCAAAGGAAACGCTGTCAGAGGAATTAAAATGCAACTTGAACGTGGCTAGCATGATGGGGACCGTGCTTCAACTTGAAATTGTCCATTAGTCGATTAAATCAATTAATCAATTAGTTTTATAAAAATGTGATGGAACTCTCCCGTTTTTAGTTCATTCTACCCGGGTAGTTCGTTAGTAGCTCGCATATGTAATTATTTTCATATGTTTTAATGTTTGAAAGGTCGGGTGATTTGGGATATATTTTAGACCTTAAGATATCTTTCGTAATACAACGTTCCGGAAATACTTTTGATTTGACGTTGTTTTGTCGCATAGCTTCCTTGCGGCCATTAAATCTTTTATTTATTTTTTTCTGTTGTGCAACCCACATAAATCAAACCATGTTTGTTAGCCTGGGCGGCGTATATCAAAAGGGAAGCAGTGCAATTGTCACTTTTTAAAGACAAGATATTTCTCTTTGAATTCTTCAATGAATTGACTTGGCGCATGTTGCTGCATAACGAATAGGGTTTTCTCTTTTATGACAGAAAGCACAATAATGTGTTCAGTGTGACCTTTTGTACTCGTTAAAATTTATCTGGAGTGTTTTTATCGTTTAAAAGAAAAAAATAGGTGGGAAACATCTTAAAGCGTGAATATTTTTGCGAAATAGCTAAACTACTTTCGAAATTTCAGGAATGTGTCAGTGCCAATTGATGATTAAGGTATTCAATTAGAACTTTGCTTGTACTTTTTGGTGTTTTGATCTGGGGTAAAACTCTGGCAAATCTTTCTTTTCATCTATTTTATTGGCAATTGGCTACATTCGCAACTCATGATAGCCGCGCTTGACATAATGCGGAATAAAATCATTGGTATGCTTCCAATAATATTAATTTCTGTGCAATTTTTCTAGTGCAAAATATGTAGGACTTCGGGTTTGATTTTATCGTGTGATAAAGTTGTTCCGAATGGCGGTGAAAATAGATATGTGATGAAGTAGGATTGCAAATTTGTGCGGTTATTAGAAACTTCCTTGAAAAATTTAATTGCATTAAAATTATGTCAATCTGTGTGGAATAACATGCCAA